TCCAAGCCACTTTATACCCCATCACCATCTATGGATTTGAGAACTGGACAGATAGGAAGAAAATAAAGCAGATAGGAAGAAAGCAGATAGGAAGAAAATAAATGCATTTGAGATGAGGTGCTGGAAAAGAGCGTGGAGGATACTGTCGATAGCCAAAAAGACAAACAAGTGGGTCCTAGAAGAGATCAAGCCTGAACTCTTCCTGCAAGCCAAGATGACCAAACTAAGGACGTTATCACACAGGGCTCAATCCAAACAGAATCCAAACGAAATGGCGAACAAATCCGGATTATTTGCCCGTGTTTCCACACGACGTCGCACAGAACCCTGACAGAAAGTGGAAAGAACCGAGATCTTTTGAATTTCGCTTTCTTCAGGAATTGCAATTGCGCGACGGGAATCATTTCGCATTTACCGTAGGTCTGATAACCAAATACGTATTGTGGCGCATTTCCCCGCTGTTGGCATGGTTCCAGCGAGCATTCCTCTCTCTGCGCATGTGCAGGAGGCTCATTTCGGCTACATTTACGGGTTTTTTTCTCTTGTGTGTGGACGTTCGATACACTTACTGTAAAAGCGCAATGAAGGTAAATGGCGTTTGCGGAAACAAGGGTTATTTCCCGTTTATTTTTGGGATGCCTCGTTTCCACTTTATTTTCAGTTTCTGGGCCACGTGTGATAACATCCTTAGGCTGTTGTACTTCGGTCACGTCAAACGAAGGCACGACTCGTTGGAAAAGACAATAATGCTCGGAAAGGTAGAAGGCAATAGAAAGAGAGAAAGACCACATGCCAGATGGATAGACTCAATTAAGGAGATCATGGGACTGAATCTACAGGAGCCGAGGAGAGCGTCTGCAGATGAGGGGCTTGGAAGCATCTCATTCATAGGGTTGCCATGACTCGAAGCGGACTGGAAGGCAGTTGACAACAACCACCCTTTCTTCTTCTCCTCCTTGGCAACCATTGCAGTCTGCTCTGTCCTTCACCCTGCCGGCTTACTAAGTGCTTTCCTGCCTTTCTTTGGAGAGGCCAGAACATTGGTAGTGATGGTGTGGCAAATGCACCAGCCAGCCCAGCCGTTGCTAAGCCAGGTTGCCTTCATCTCAGCCCAGCATCACGTGGGGCTCCCCGGAGAAGGATCCGCATGCGGGAGGCGGTGGAGGCCTTGCAGCCATTGCATTAGGTACTTGACAAGGCCAGGAGAGGTTGCTTTTAACCTTTTTAATTATTCAGGTTTTACAATGGGAGCAAAAGACTTGAGTTGTTTGCCAGCTCTTCCCTGACCCTGCCGCAGGTTTGCTTGGATTCTAGAACTTGACTCCAAAGTGGGAAGGGATTTTCTTTTTAAAATTAAGTTTAAATTTACTTACATTCAAAAGGGATCTCAGTTGCATACAATAATGTCCCAGTATGACAGAAGCAGGAAAATAAAAACACGAAAGGAGGGGAAATAGCCACATCAGTAGCACGTTTTTATAATAGCTGGCCCAATGTCCAAGTATAAGTCCATTTGTAAATTTTGTCTATATATCATTCTTTCAAATGTTGCAAGCTGCTGTGAGATCTTCTATCCATTGGGTCAGAAGTGGAAGAAAACAATTTTTCCAGTAATGAAGTAATCAGTCTTTTAGCAGTTGCATTTTAGTCTTTTAATGCATGACATGTTTAATACTGTGCTAGTTTAATTCTGCTTTAATGCTCACTTATGTATGAGTGCATGTATGTTTTTAATTGCATTGTTCTTTTAAATTGTAAGGTGCTTTGTGTCCCAAATTTGGAGGGAAAGTGCAACAACAACAACAACAACAACAACAATAATAATAGGGCATAAAAATACACTTCTGCTGGCCATTTGGCTTCCAAGAGACAGGTAAATAATTCACAGAACATGAATGTTCCTAAATATTAAGGAACTGTCCAAAATCAAATTTACTCTTGTGATTACGTCCTGCCAAGATGCTTTGAAAAGTATCTGGAATTGTCTGCCGGAGAGCTCTAGTGCCTCCCCAAACTGTCTATCCCAGCATCCCCTGGGAATCCTAGGATTCAAATGGAATCAGAGTGCAATAGCCTTTTGAGTGAAAGAGGCCAGAGTCAGGTTTAAAGACAAAGGGCCAGAAGGAAGAAAACCTTGGCAATACCCATCATCCACAGTTCGAAGCAACTGGGAAGCAGGCTGGAAAGCCGGAACATGGGTTACCTTATCACAAGACTTCCCCACTAGGATGGAGATGTGTTGAGTCTGGATTTTGGGGGAAAGGTAGAATATAAATAATGACGTTGAGGTAGATGAAGAAATATTAATAGTAAAAATACCAAGAAGAGGAAGAAGATGCTGCCATTTTCTTTAAAATATATTTCTAGTTTTGCAGCAGCACATATGAAGTAGCAGCAGTGCTTTTACGCAAGCTGGTGC